CAGCAGGGGGAAATATTTTCTTATACATCTTCTTTGGGGGCCAAGTTTGGTCATTATAATTTCATATAAATTCTTTGATTTTTGTTGTTCTTTTTATTTATGCTATTACAGTCATTTTGTAGACTTTCTTTTTGCTTACTCCACTTTACATCAGTTCATATAAGTCTTCCCATGCTTCTCTGTATTAATCACATTCGTTATTTCTTAAGACAAAGTAAATTCCATCACATTCATATACCACAATTTGTTCAACTAATTGATGGGCATCTACTTTGTTTTCCAGTGCGTAGCACATAGTAAGAGCTTAATAATAATGTTTACTGATTGATTTTCAATTCTTTTCTATTACAAAAACTAATGCTATAAATATTTTGGTGCGTATGGGAAATTTTCACTCTGTCACTTTCTTTTGGAAGGCTGTTAATAATTTGCAATTCTTTTGAGAATTATTCATATTATTCACTGTGGTAGATGGTGCAGTAGATAAAGCAATGGTCCCGGAGTCAGGAGGACCTCAGACACATAACACTCACCAGCTGTGTGACTCTGGGCAAGTCGCTTAACCCCAGTTGCCTCACATTAGGAAAAAAAATAATTATTTATATCCTTTCCCAAAGTCAACTTCTTCACTTCCTATTCTAGTTGCATTAACTCTGCTCTTGCAAAACCTTTTCAGCTTCATGTCATTGAGATCTACTCTATTTTTAGCAATCACCTTGATCCTTTGTTTGGTTAAGAATTCACCCTCTAGCCATGGCTATGAAAGTTACAGGATATGATTCTCTTCTAAATTTTTTAATGGCATGATTCAGGTCACATGCCCATTTTGAATTTGTGATACATGGTGTAAGATATAGATTTAAACCTAATTTCTGCCCGATTGCTTTCCAGTTTTCCCAGAAATTCTTCCAGATTTATTGACCGGTATGTTGAGTGTGATTACCTCTGATTCTTTTCTAATCTGTTTCACTGAAATATTTTTCTACTTTTTTGACCAATACTTAATAGTTTTGGTGATTATTGCTTTATAATATAGTTATAGATCTGGAAGTGCTATTCTCCCCTACATTCTTATTTTTTTCCCATTGTTTCCCATTATATTCTAGATCTTTTTTCCCCTTCAAATTTGTTACTATTTTGTCTAGCTCTATAAGTTATTTGACTGTTTGACTATACCAGTTTGGCTGACATAGTACTAAAATCCTTCATTTTTATTGTATTAATACCATTTTTATTAAATTGGCACATCGGCTGATGGCTTAACCATAACTGCCAAATGCCTGATTATTGTATTGCTCATTATTTCATTCAGAAACATTTTATAATTTTATCTAGACAAATATTGAGTCAGATTTGGTTCTGATTGCCATTTCATACATTTTATAGTTATTTTGAATGGGACTTCCTTTTCTATTATTTTCTCCTGGATTTTGTAATTGCTTATATGTCATAAAAATATTGCCTTTATGTGGGTTTATTTTGTAGCCTGCTACCTTACTAAAACTACTGAAAGGAACTCAATTGGTTCCTAGGATTTTCTAAGTAAAACTTCACGTCCTTAGATAACGGGGAATTTTTTCTTCTGTCTAGATTCATGCTTTTCTTCCTCTCGTCATTGCTATTGTTAGCATTTCTAGAATATCAAATAATAGTAGTACAAATGCTAATCCTTGCTTTTTTCCCATAATTATTGGGAAAGATTTTAGTGTTTTCCCACAGCATATACTACAACTTGGGTTTTAGGTGCTTTATATCCCATGAAAAATAACTTCATATGTCTATGTTTTGTGGAGGGTTTTATTTTGTTTTGTTTTTATTGAATATTGTACTTTGTCAAAAACTTCTACATTGACTGAAGCATACTTTTTTACTTTATTTTCCTTGTCTTTATTTTTTTTGGTCATAAAATGACATAACTAATATGGAAATGTCTTGTATGATAGCACATGTATAACCTACATCAAATTGCTTGCCTTCTTAATGAGGGGGAGAGAAAGGAGGAAGAGAATTTGAAACTCAAAATTTTTTAAAAGGATGTTAAAATTTGTTTTTACATGTAATTGGGGGAAAATAAAATATTAATTGGAAAAATTTCTGCATTTATTGATATGAGCAGTTGTGGGACCTGAGTTTGAATCCAGACTCAGAGACTTATTAGCCATGTGACTCTGAGCAAGTCACTTAACCTCTGCTTGCCTCAGTTCCTTCATCTGTAAAAAAAAAAAGAAGAAGAGGATAACAGCACTTCCTTCTTAGGATTGTTGTGAGAATCAAATGAGATAATAGTTGTAAAACACTTAGCACAGTTCCTGGCACACAGTAAGTGCTAAATAAGTGTTAGCTATTATTACAAAGTGGAACTCAAGCCACTAATCAAAGATATAGGAGCAAAGAAAGTAATAGGGTCACAAAGGTTGTGAACCTTTGTGGATATTCAGTCAGACTAGATCACACTTCCTAGCTGGGCCTTAGACAACAGATGACTCAAAGTATTTCCCTCAGTGACTGAGCTAATAATCTAAGACTACCATGGACCTAGAAGATTCACCCAGTCTTTCATATTTCATACTCCAAACCAACGTATTTCTCCTATTTCACATGGAACTATCCATCTCCATGTGGGTAGGATTAAGAGAAAAGTATGAGATAAGTATACTTTGCATGGCTGCCAAAAGTGGGGGCCATGATGATATAAAGGCTATGGACCAAAGGGCTACATAAGAGAATTCCCGTCAAAGATGTATATGCCTCCTCCCTAGTTAGAGATTTTCATCAGAGGCATGGACCATCTTCACCAGAGGACCAGAAGGAGAAGGGATGGGAAGAATGTTAATAATAACACGGCTAGAGTAAGCTACAAAGCTAGAGCGTGCCAAATCACTCCAGCTTAGCTGTATTATTCCACTATGAGCATAATGCACTTAGGTGAATTAAGGAGGAGGAAGAAGAATGAGATGAAATAAGGCATCTTCTGTTAATAATAATAGACTGGTGACCTTTGGGGTGCCTTGGGACAGATTCAGTTACTTGTGGAGAACAACTCAGATCCAGGCAAGTTTGCTTGGTTTGAGAAGGGTAAGACTGTTTTGTTTTAGACCTCTTGGGACCATTACTGAAATAGGATTTTCTGTCTCTTCCAGTAAACCAGCATTTGGGAATGGTGAGCTGAAAATCCTCGTGCAGGCCCTGTACTTTGTCCCCACTGGATATGTTGTTGACTATAGCTACACTTAGCACATTTATGTGAGGACAGGAGAGAAACAGGGAGTGGCAACCTGGCACAGGTGAATGAATGTGCTGTGTCTGAAATTTGAGATAAACTGAGGCACAAAGTTCTGAAACAAATCCAATTTATTGATAAAGCACAAATTTATCAATAAATAGGTTCTTAGCTTCCCCAGCAAAGCTAAGACCCAGTTATGGGGTTAACAACCCTTTTTTGAGTTTTGAGGGAAGCACAGAACAAAGAACCAAGTTGGGTAGGTGGGGAAGACAAGGTCATTGGTTACAAAGTAGACAGCATCAGAGGAGTGGGGACAACATGATTGATTACATCAAGGAGAATGGGTTAGCACTCATGTGGGACTAGTAACCATCCCTCTCTGTCATTAAGGAATGCTTGATTGATTTAGGAGGTCCATCTGCATATTGCAGACCTTGATAGTGGACTTGAGTTAACAAACTCCCTGGTGTTTGTTAAAGAGATAAGATTCTTTTTAATTGTACAAGGATAGGCAAGGACAGATTATATATCTTGTGGAAATATATCAGGTCAGCTCATAAGCCTTTGCAGATAACAAACAGAGGTCCTGGAATTTCCACAGGAGCTACAGGAATGGTAGATAATAAGTCTTTTCCCTTTAATTACAGTGACTTATGAACAGGCTGAATTTTAAACTTGCTCAGAAGGAAAAGCTTAACTAAAGGACATAGGTAACTTTGGTAGAGAAAGAATTGATTACAACATGAAATCAATATATCACAGGATCAAGCACAAGTTGAATTAATTTGAATTTCTCATGTGATCATAAAGCTTTTCTGGGGTATCCTAGGCTGCATTTCTATATGTCAATTGCCTGAGAGTCTACTCTATCAATTTTATGTACGATTAAGAGTCCCACACATAAAGGCTTCAGTAAAAATCTTGTTACCATAGGGTTCCCTCCTTCCCCAACCTACCTTCTGCATCACCTTCTTAACATTTAGTCGGCTCCTTACCCTTATTTTCAACAAGATCTTCTTATAAACCTTATATCCACATAACAAAATTAGTATTCCTTCAACATGAAGAGTTGGGAGCTAGAATTAAATTACCTTAGATACAGTTTTCCAAGAATTATTGACTACTTTGCTTTTGTCTCTTTTTCAGTTGTGTGGTTTTATCTAAAGTAAAATTTACATGCGCCTTGAAATATTGAAAACATAAAGTCTATATGTACAGATGTACCATTGATGAAATTTTTGGAGTGATCTTGTCAAACTCTCTGATGTTTTCAAGCAGTCCTATGATACCCATATTGACCAAGAAACTTATTTTATGTATGGTGAAAATGCAACACTTTGGGGTAACTCATCTCTTACATTATATCCAGAACAAAATGACATTTCAAGTTGTCCCAGAGAGCTTGGCCTTTCTTATCAATGCATAATAATAATAATAATTATATATAAATAAATGTTATATCCAGCTAATTAAAAGTAACTGCTATAGGAAGAAAATTACCTGTTCTAAGGAGGATAAGGTCACATATGTGTACTATAAGGAGAAAGGGACAGAAATACGGGTAAATTGTAGGAACACTGACCTTATTAGAAAAGAAAATACATAAAACACAAAAGAAAATACAAAAAGAGCTCACACTTCAGGCTGATCAATAACAATGGCATGTTCTCATTCACTTAAAAGGATGATGATGAGATGTGCCACTACTGCTAATTTCTCGATTTTTGGTGGGAGTGGAGGGGAATGTTGGAGACCAGAAATACACACTCAAAAGTGCTCAGAAGAAACAATTGCTGTTTAATCATTACAGTGATTCTCCCAGAGATCTCATGGATGTTTTCTGGCAGAAAAGGAGAGCCAGACATCTTCAGAGGATATCAGGACACATGACTGGTGTTGGAAGTATTCTGTTCTGCACAGTCAACGTTTAATGGGCTCCGCCAATTTCACTATTCTCGGTGAACACACTGCTACTTTTGCAGCATCCTTAACTTTAAACGCATCCAGGTTAATGGCATTCACGGTCAAAGGAGTTCTGAAACAAAGCAAAGGGAAAAATCAAAAGAAAATAAGTCTAACATTTTAGAAAGAAAACAGGGACAGCTTGGTGGTGCAGTGGATAGAGCACCAGCCCTGAAATCAGGAGGACCTGAGTTCAAATTTGGCCTCAAACACTTGACACTAGCTATGTGACCCTAGGCAAATCACTTAACGCCAATTGCCTCGCAAGAAAGAAAGAAAGAAAGAAAGAAAGAAAGAAAAAAGAAAGAAAGAAAGAAAGGAAGGAAGGAAGGAAGGAAGGAAGGAAGGAAGGAAGGAAGGAAGGAGAGAGAGAGAGAGAGAGAGAGAAAGAAAGGAAAAAAGGAAGAAAGAAAACTTGAAATTTCTCAGCAGTATAGCACTTGTTACAAAACAAACTAAATGACCTAAAATAGTTAAAATTTAGTTTTCTTTTATTATTGAGGAATAACACCAGCGCTCACACTAGATGAGCTCATGAATAAGCAGAGCCCTACAAAGGTATCATGCGCTTAAAAGTAGTTGGCTTATGCCAAGACACTGAGCAAAGTTGTTAGAATATCTGTCCTCAGTCCCTGTCCTGAACTACCACCAGCTCCCCTGTGTCTTCTGGAGAAAAAAAAAAAGACTTGATTATTTTGCATAATTTTAGCCTATGATTTCATCAATGGAGGGAACTCATAGTAAAGAAATTCTTTTGGCCAGTACAATCTGCAGCTTATAGTCCTACACTGTTGCCTGGGGGTACTGAGGGTTGAAAGGCCTTGTCCAGAGTCATGAAGCCAGTAAGTGTCAGGAGTAGAATTTGAACCTACATCATACTGACTCCAAAGCTGGCCACCTCTTCACTACTATATAACTATGCATTATCTCACAGGTTTTCACTAAAAAATTGTGATCCACTTCTCAGCCCCCTTGAACCACAATACCCTCCCATACTGCTTTAGACTGACCTCAGAGAAAAGACCATCATTTGGAACCCAACCAGCCCTCCTACTCTCCCAGTCCACGGGTCACCCACATGACTCAGCCAGCACGCAGGGTGAATCTGAGTCACTCGCTTGATTCTTTCCTCCCTACCTCCCCTCTAAAGAAAGTGCCTTTCATTTAGTTCACCATTCACCAGATTGAACATTATATAGAAGAGAAAACTTACATCTTCCCTTTCCAGAATTCAAATCATCTACTCTGTTTTCAGGTATTAATCACATGAGCCCTCTTACTGTTCTTACTAGATGGACAAGGACCTAGTGTGGTTGGACTTGTTTTGTAGATAAAAGAACTAAAATATAAAATGTAGTGACTTGCCTAAGAAGTCAGACAGAAAATGAACCCCACAGTTTGAACAAGAACCAAGTTTTCTGACTTCCAGCCAACACTGGGTCCTCTGAACCTGAAACAAAAGCTCAGTGTTTTCTTCTAAAAAAGCTAATGATATGCCAAGGTGAATGTAACAAGTAAGATTTCTTTGAAAATGTTTCATTTCTTGAGCTTTTTTCCTTATTAACACCTCCCTTCCCAAATCATTTTTCCTCTTTTTCTCGTGGTACATGCATACCTTGCACTGGGGGTAGATAGCACTTCAATCCTAGGTGATGGAACATATTTTAGGGCAGCACGTGACACTGGCTGCTGAACTGGACGCACTGGGAGATAATCGCTATGCACGGATTTGGCTTTAGCTAGAAACAGTGTACGAGGACTTGGTTGAGCTGTCATGGCAGCAGTGGATACCTTTGAAGGAAAACAAAAAACAAAAACAAATCCACCAAACCTGCTGACCTTAATTTTGGAATGCGTCTGCCATTTTGCATTTCTCTATGTTGCTTTTATGATAAACTATCAATGTTAAGGTGAGAGAAGCCATAGTGTAGGAGGTCACCAGCTGCTTGACTTATTCTTTCTGAGTCTAAGGCAGCTCTCTAAGACATTTAGTTCTGGACAGGTTGCAATCTGCCTGTGTGCAGGAAGCTCCTACACTAATGAAATTATATTTCACTGATATAGCAAGATTGATATTTTAGTCAATATCACCATATCTTTCAAATTTTTATTTTATATATACATACATATATGCATCTATTTTATTATTACGTGTATATATATATTTCATTATTACATATTTAACTTATTTTATGATGATTATGTGAAATAATGTTTTTCATCTATACTGCCATCTATAACTATTTAAGAATCTAAGGAGATAGAATATACTTTAGAGTTCACTTCATCTGACCCCTTCCCTTTACAGAAAAGGAAAGAGAAACCCAGTGGTTAATGTGTAGGGAACGGTAAATAATTTTACAGATGGGAAGATTGAAGAACCAAGAGATGTGATTTACTCAAGTCGTGGCTAGGACTGTAATCCAGGAATCCGGACTTCAATCATTATGCTCTTTCCACTAGTCCACATGAACTGATAGAATCCCATATTAAATCCCTGAGGTCAAATTCAAGGCACTCTTCAGGACCCTTTAACACTGCCCAGCATGATCTGCTGATATTTAGTGAGTGCCCAAATGTGCAAAGCCTACACCAGACACAACAGCTCTGGATTGTATGCCCAGGATACTCTTCTAAGATGCCCTAGGGGAGGAGGGCTAGAATTTATAGAATGATAAAGTTACAAGAGAATTCAGAGACCGCCCAGTCCAACCTGGAGCCCGTAGGTCATAAATCACAAACCTAGAGCTGGAGGTAAAAGGGACTTAAGAGATGATCTAGTCCAAATCCCTCATTATACACATGAAAAACCTGAGACCCAGAGAGAGATTAAGGGATTTGCCCGAAGTCATATAGATAGGAAGGGGAAGAACCAGGATTTGAACCCAGATCCTCCCTCACCCAAATCCAGTGCTCTCTTTCCTTCTATGACAGCCCCAACAAGAAGTCACACAACCTCTTCTTGAAAATTTTCAATGGAGGAGTTAGAGGAGGAAGCTCATTCTCTTATTGGAAAGCTCTCAGTGTTACGAAGTCTTCTTTTCTCATATCAAGCCTAAATCTCTCTCTGTAACTTCCACCCATTGCTCTGAGACCAAGCAGAAAAAAAATCTAAATTCTTTTTCACACGTCAGCCCTACAACCATCTGTAGAAAATATCATAGCCCCTCTCTGTCTTCTCTTCTTCAAGGTAAACATTCCCAGCTTCTTTTGCTGACCTTCCCTGCTATGCTACAGCCTCCAGTCCTTTCATCATCCTACTTAGCTTCTAATAGACAAGTTCCAGCTTGACCAAGTCTTTCCTAAGATACATGGCCAAACCTGAACACAGATTTCCATATGTGTTCCGGCCAGAGCAAAATCTGGCAGAGATAGATCCTTGTTCTGGATACTAGATTTCTCAATGGAGCTTAAGGTCACATTAGCTGTTCTACTGGCCTTATCATACTGCTGATTTCATATTGACTTTCTAATTGACTAAAGTCCCTGAATTTCATTTTTCATAAAAATTTCCATCTTACTACGTTTCCGTCTCCACCTAATACTTGAAAAGTTGCTTTCTTTTATTGAAGTGTAGAACTTTTCAGTTAATCTTATTAAATTTCAGCTTTTTTCTATCTGGCCCATTGTTCTAACATTAACGAACCAGCCAAAAGTCAGATCTTTCTCCAGACAACAGGGAAAAAAAGTGGTATCTTACAGGGCGAATTGGCAAGTCATTTCTTCCTCTTTCAAAATATAATGTTTCTGTTTTGACCTTCGGTTCTGAAAGAGAGATCACTCTTAATGAGGGATGTGCATGCAGAGCAGCAGGTGTAATCTGTGTTTCAACCTGTACAAGGAAAATAAAACAGTACACATTGACTACTCCCAAAAAACATTAATCAAATAAATCAATATTACATTTTTTCATCTGATCAGTGAACCACATTTGTTAGCAGAGCTAGCAGAAAGGAAAATTGTGTGTACTGAGAGGATAATTGTGTGTGCCAATTTCAACTAGCTTTTTTCTTTTTTTAGAAACCTCATGGTAAAATTGAAAATCAGAAGGAAAATAGGTAATTATTGAAATGCTATTTGGACAGCTTTAAAAGAAAAAAAGATAAAGTCTATTTTGCCTGAATAAAACCAATGTAGCTAGAATAAGATTAGAAATTACAAGTGCAAAATATCTTTGCATCAAATGTCTCTGATAATCTAAGTCTGATATCTAAGATATGGTGAGATGGACACAATTTTTTAAGACTAAGAGCCATTCCTCAATGGATAACAAGTCAAAGGATATGAACAAACTATTTGAAAGAGAAATTAAAAACTATCAGAACCATATAAAAGATTGTTGCAAGTCATTAGCTATATGAGAAATACCAATAAAAACAACCCAGAGGTTTCACCTCATATTTTTCAATGTTTCAAAGATGATAAAAGGTGAAAATAGTCAATGTTGGAGGGGTTGTGGGAAGACAGACAGACAGACAGACACACACACACACACACACACACACACAAACTGTTGGAGAAGCTGTAAATTGGTCCAACCATTCTGGAAAATATTGAGAAAAGTCACAAAATTGTTCATACCCTTTGACTCAATGATCCCAATATTCTCAAGAGGATCAAATATGACCAATCAATCAATGAGCATTTATTAAGCACTTCCTATGTGCCAACCACTATGACTCCCTGAGGTTACAAAGATAAAAAATCAAACAACACCTTCCCTCAGGGAGCTTACATTCTCTAAGAGGAAGCAACACACACACACACACACACACACACACACACACACACACACATACACGTAGATACAAAATATATAAAAGGTAAATCTAAAGTATTTGGGTTGGAGGCACTAATAGCTGAGGTACTCAGGAAAGGCCCTCTACAGGAGGGAACATTGGTTGAACTTTGAAGAAACTACGTATTCTACCTAAAGAGGCTGAATATGAAGAGGGCATGAATTCCAGACAAATGGGGAAAGCCCCTGTTGCCAAGACACAAAGATAGGAGATTTGATGTCATGTGTCAGGAATAGCAAGTAAGCTAATGTGGTTGGAATGAATAGCCTGCTAGAGATAGTAATGTGTCTGGAAAGGTAGACGGGGACTTATACGACAAACAGAGGAGTTTGCATTTGATACCAGAAGGAGTAGAAAGTTATCGGAGCTTCATGAAGAAGAAAATAAAATGGTCAGGCCTATGATTTAGGAAGATCACTTTAGCAGCTGTCTGGAATATGGAATGGAAGGAGAACACACATTGGGCAAGACCATTCTGAAGGTTATTGCAATAGATTGGGCAAGAGGCAAGAGGGCCTAAACCAGGGCAGTGGCTGTGTGAGTAGAGAGACGGGCATTGATATGAGAAATACTGTAGCTGTAAAACTGACAAGAATTAGTAAGTGGTTGGATAGGTGGGGAAAGGTCTCAAATATTTCAAAATACAGAGCAACAATTTTCATAGTAGCCAGAAAATAGAAACAAAATAGTTATCCACTGATTAGGGAGAAGCAAAAGAAATTATGTTTATGGAATATACTGTAATGGAATATTAATGAACCATAAGAAATGCTGACTATAATAGGGGTCAATCAGGAGAATGATCCCCTAATCGGTTTCATGAGTTTACCAATCAACCTGAAGAGATTCCAGGCTACAAAGCACTACATTTAAGTGCTGGGAAAATAAAAAGGAATAGAAAATCCAGTTTGTGTTCTCCAGAATTTTGCAATCTAAGGGAGTGATTGATCATTATTTCAATTCAACAATATTTATTGAGTCCTTCCTATGTGTAGGGTAATGTGCCAAGTACTAGGAAGCATACGCCAATAAACTTGTGATCTCCTTAATTTGGATGTGCCTTCTATATGTATAGCACAACTCATCCATGCCTACTCAGCCTGTGCAACTCTTATTGATGTCTTCCCATAAAGAGAAGTCTACCCAACAAAATGATCACCCAACATCTTTGAGGCCTGCCTCTCTTTCTCTTGACACAATGAGGATGCTGGCAGAGTACTAAGGCTGTCCACCTGTCATTCCTCACCTTCACCATCTAACCAACCAACTTACTTTCTTTTCCCATCATGCATTTCCATGATGACCTTTTCTATTTTTGTTCTTCAAAAATTCCCCAGTTGTATTTTCTGTAGCCTGTTCATACCCATCATGAATTTCTCCATTTACCTATGGGTCATGTGTGTGTGTGTGTGTGTGTGTGTGGTGTGTGTGTGTGTGTGTGTGTGTGTGTATGTATCTTCAGTACCTCAGAGACTAGTGTGTTCTATTTCTTCTAATTCTCTAACAATGTTATATTGGTAATAGTATTAAAAAGATGAACCTTTGATTCTGACAGAATCTTGGGGTTATTAAAAGAGCTTCACAGGCTTTTGAAGGCAATCCAGACCATTTTCCTCCCTCCTCCTGTTTAACTCTAGACCTAGAACACTACCATCTGTCCCAAGTATATGTTCCAATGGGCAAGTTGTATAGGTTGTCCCTACAATTCATGCCAGTCATGGGCAATAGATACTTCATCCACTTGGTTTTTCCTGTGCAGACGGTCAGGCCAAACTCTTCCAGAAGGTTCTGCAATATTTCAGAGCCTGATGCGACCAAAACAATGTCATCCACTAGCAGGAATACATGGAGTGACTTCTTTAACTTGAACTCTGTGCTGGATCTCCTCCATCACAGTGGTGAACACCTTTGATGATCTCCCTGTCTGATGCTTCACCTAATATTTATGATCAAAAGATATCTGAAGAGAGTCATTGCTATCATTACATCTCTCAAAGACTCAGATGATTGTGATGTGTGAATGGAAAACATCTTGTCGGAAGAAAGCATTTAAGGCAGCATTTCATTCTACTAAATAAAATACTTTTTAACAATCAACAAACAATAGGCACAGTGAGATCTTACCTATACTACATCTTTCATCTAACTGTGAAAAGGTAAAGATAGGGTCCATTTCAGAACATGAATTGCAAAAGGCTGCTTGTTCCTCACTTACGATAACTTCAATGTGTAGATGAGTCTTACATTTTGTATAGGTGGGAAGGTAGGCATATAGGTTGATATTGGCTGATGTTCTATTGCTCACCTTTCTTCAGTATTAAGAAAGTCTAATTTTTCTCCTTATGTCTAGTATCTTCTTCTATAAGTCAGAGGCATACATTGAGTATAGATTTGGTGTACTGGTACATCTGATTGCATTACACATATCTGTGCTGTAAGTATATTCAGGATGTTGATGTTAAGAATTCAAGGGTGGTAGCTCTATTTTGTTTGACGTTGAAAAGAATTTGTTATGAAAATTTGTTATAAAAAAATCATTGCAGATTTTTTCTATTTTTCTTCTGTTTGTTGTCCTCCTTCCATTTTTATCCTTAAATGCTCTTGAGATGACTACTTAGTTGGATCTTTTGCCAAATTTCCTTAAACTGATTTTATTTTCCACTACTTCTCTTTGCTTTATGAAGCTTAAAATTATCCATCATCCTTCTTTGCAAGATTTTATAAACAAGTTTAGATTCAGAACTGGTGTTGCCTAGGGACACAATATCTCTCTGCTTGGCAAAGTCCTACTCTGATGCTCCTCAGGGCACAGAGGTGACCTTGGGTCCTCAAATGCTATGCCAGCTGAATGTCAGCCCTGGCAACTTCAACTATGCTGGAAAAGCTTTGAGTAAGACTCAGGTAACAGACCAAATAGGCTTTCCAAGAACCAGTCTAGCAAGTACAGTGAAGTTCATCACCAACAAGCTGGCCACTTGGTGATTAATTGCTGGACTGTGGCAACCGTTGAAACAAAGAAAAATATAAAATGGCTCCCAGTCTTATGTGGTCCCCTTCCATTTCTGAAGTAACTGTGACAAAGTGATAGAAAAGGGGGGAGAAGGTGCTAGGAATCACCCAGTTTTTAGACCATCTATAAATTTTTACTGGCTGTTGACACTCTAAATATGAGAGCCTTATCTAATGACCAACAAGTAGACATGCTGCTATAGGAGCAAAATCATATGAATCCTGACATTCTCACTATGAATAACCAGAAGAAAGGCAGGAGTTCCAGCTAAGTGGAAGGATGACTCAAAGGTACAGCTTGGAGGGACAAAGAAAGGAGCTGGCCGAATTGGTTTTATCATACATTCAAAGGTAGCAAGAACCATTCTTTCCTTACCTATTTATTTGGTCATTTCACATTGAAATACTCATAATAGATATCTGCAAAAAGATCACTGTGAAAACAATTGCAACTTATACATCAACATCAGTTGCAAAGAATCAAGAAGTAGAAACATTCTACAAAAAATTCTAAGACCCTACAAATTAAATCAATATACACTTTGACACTCCAGTGATTTTAGGAATAGGTGGGAATAGGTGAGAAATAAACCAGAAAACATGAGAAGGATGAAAGAAAACAAGCAATGCACATAATTACTCTTATCTATCACAATTACTTCCTTTGAGAAAAGAATTGATAGATGCCAGTTGTAGGCCACACTAAAATAATCTCACAAAAGTAAAGTTGATTATATTTTAAAAGACATTATTGATGTGGGAGTCACCTATAAATCAGTTGTCTTTATATAATCAATTTTATATATAACATATGTTTATATAACAACAACTTGTCAAAGCAAAGATCATAAAATTAGTAAAAAGCTAGAAGAAAGAATAATTAGATAAAGTATACAATTGAAACAGGTTAATCTTAAACTGTTTAAACAAGCATAATTGATAATAAAAATCAGCAACAGACAATAAAAATGGCATTGACATCAATTATAATAACTTTTTAAAGAAGCTTAACCAATGTAAATCAATTGCCACAAGGAGACCAAAAGAATCTTAGTCAATAAACACTATGAAACATACAAAGAGAAAACCAACATAGTCACTGCCTTCAAGAAGCTTAAACTCTAATAAATAAACTAACAAATAATTACATTAATAATTACAACACAGAAGAATTTTCTAAGTGCTATAAGAGAGATACCAGCAAAATACAATAGAATTTTAGAGATCTCTTCTGACTGAAGGGAAAGGTGAATAAGAGGGTTCCTGGAGAAGGCAGCCTTTGAGTTGAGCCTTGAAGAATGGATAGACTGTTAAAAGGCACAGGTGGAAAGAAGGAGCAAATGCATAGAGGTGGGAAAATGTAGCACATATTGGGGATAATAACAAAAAGTTCAGTTCCACTTCGATTTTGAATGCAACTCACATTTCTACAGTGCTTTAAAATTTACAAAGCACTTTCTTCAAAGCAACCCCATAAAATAGAGCAAGTATCATTATTCCCATTTTATAGGTGATAAAACAGGATCAAAGAGGCTAAATAACTTTCTCAGAATCACATAGCTAATACCTGTTAAAAGGCAGTATTTGAACCCAAGTCTTCTGATTCCAAATTCCATGTTTTTATACCGTGAAAAAAGAGGCTGGGACAAGATTCTGAAGAGCCTCAAATGCCAGGCTAAAGAGCTCTAGACTTCATTTGGCACATAATTTAACATTGTTAATGAGTGTTGAGCAGGGGAATGACATAATCAGATGTAGGATGCATTAAAGGTAGCTGCAAGTGGAGATAAAGAGACTAGTTAGGAAGATTTTAAATTGTCCATGTAAACGGTGGCCTGCTACAAAGGATACTGTAAGACTTGAGAACTGAGTGGATTTGAGGGCTGAGAGAGAGGGAGAGAGGTCAAAAGAGTCAAAGATAACTGAAGTTTGGAGTCTTGATAAATAAAATAATGGTGTCATTAAAAGATGTGAGTGAATTAAGTAGGAGGAGCTGAAGGTAAGTAGTTCGTTCTTGCATGTGTTGAATTTGAGGCACCCACAAAACCAATAAAAAATATCTAGTAGGCAGTTTGATGTGTAAGAATATATTTTTAAAATACATACATATAAATATTAAATATATATTATATATTATATAACTTATATATAATATAATACAAAATATAAAAATAAATAATAATGTAAATAATAGTAAAACTTTAAATAATAATAAAAATGTGTAAGAGTTCTGGAAAAAGGCTAGGATTGGGAATATATGCATGGGAATCATCTGTATAGTGATAATCACTGAAACCACAACTGTGAATACAATCACTGAGAAAAACAGTGTAGGAAGAGACAAGAAGAGAACTGAATGAATAAATGAAAAGGCATTTTTAAATGCTTACTATGTCCAAAGCGCCATGCTAAGTGGTGTGGCTCCAAAGAGAAAAGCAGGACGGTCTCAGCTCTCAAAGGGCTCACATTCCAATAGGCAGAGACAACACATCTAAGAGGTATGAGGCATATAGGAAATATATGCATTTAAGCTATAGGAGGGAAAAAAGAAGCAGAATGTCCCTGAGGCACTTAATAATGGCTTGTTGATCTGAAGTCCTTTGAGCAGTCAGAGAGACTTCAGAAAACCAGGATAATACAGTATCCTGGAAGCCAAGGAGAAGCATTAGTCAGGAGTGTCAAATACTGCAAAAAAAATCAAGAAGGATAAGAACTGAAAAAGGACTTCAGATTTCTTCATTTGAAAGTCATATTGAGAGAGGCAACATGGTATAGTGAGTGGATAAAGAGCTGGCCTCTGAGTCAGGAAGATCTGAGTTTGAGCCCTGCCTCTAATGCATACTGACTCACACACAGTCACATATTGTGACTCGGCAACTCACTTTTCTTGTCAGTGCCCCAGCTAACTGTCAAAGACCATAAATTGTAGCAAAGGGGCTTAGCTGCCTTGACACAGGAAATTCTTCACCAAGAGCTTCCTACATTGAAGAAATCACAGATCTGGTCCCACCCACCCCAATTCATATTGACCTTCAAGAACATGGTTGCGTAATCAGGGTAGAAACCAGATTGCAAGAGGTCAAGGAGTGAGTGAATGGCAGAGAAGTGTCTACACTGACTGCCAACGACTTGTTTTGGAGTTTGGAGATCAAAGGAAAAAAGGGGATGGGACAACAGTAGCTCAAAGGAGTGTTGAAGGCAACTTTTTTAGGTTACAGAAAACCAGAAGAGGTTGGTAGTTGGAGGGGAAGAAGCTAGTGAAGAGGAAGAAATTGAAAGCAGACCATTGGTGAAACAAGATGGGAGGGGATTTCATTTAATTCACTTCAACAAGCACTCACTAAGTAACAATTCTGTGCCAGGCATGGGAGCAAAGATACAAGCTTTGGGGGTTTCCTTGGAAAGGAGATAGGACACTTCTTTCTCTGAGACAGAAAGGAAGAGAGGGAGGACAGGCCAAGCTACAGAAGAAATTGGAGGTAAAGAGGAGAGGCATTGAGGGAGATTGTGTTCATGTAATTCTCTTATGAAGTACAAGGCGGCTAATCTGATAAGATCAAGGGGGAGGAGAGAGTCTAACTTAACAATGAAGGAAACTATAAAAAATGGAAAGAAAGGAAAGACTCTACATAGAAAGGCAGGGAAGGGAATTGTTGTAAGAGCCGGCTACCACCACACTACAGGAGGTCACTTTAAAGTCAGGTTCCCACAAGGTCAGATACATGTGCTTTGACATAGGCCCTTTTACCTGTTTGGGAGCAACAAAGTCTGGATGTGTCGATTTAGCCACAGAGAGTTGAACTATCCGGACAGAAGCTTCAGGGGTGACTGAAGGATCTTTCACGTGCCATTCAGGGGAGCTATACGGCCTGTAGGCAAACAGGGACTTGAAACATTCCAGTTGATGGGCGTGTGAACCATCATTACAATTCAGTTGTACTCATAATCCCTGTCCTAGGAATTTATTTTCAAGTGGACACTGTTGCCCAGGTTGAATTACCTCTCCAAAACAGCCTAAGGCAATTCCTATGACACTGACCACTGAGCAGCCTGCAGAAATAGAAGCTTGTCACGTGTCAATGACTGAAGGCCCAGTAGGCCACTGATGTTCCCTCTTTGTACTTTCCTGACTCTCATAAAAATGACCACAATAATAAACATGAAGAAGGTAGTTTATCTCTCAGGCAAATACCCAAATGCATTATGTTGTCATGTATGAATTTCAAATAATTAGCATTTTTATTAAGTAAGAATTGGGTTAAAAGAAAGTACGCCCACCAATTTTTCTTGTTACAAATCTAGTGACTGGAAAGATGGAAAATATAGGGGCATAGGATAGAAGAATACACAAGTTTCTGTATAAAGTTAAATGGAAATATTGGGGGGAAAGAATAAGATCAACCTTACTTATTTTTTCCACTTAACAGTATTTTATTTTTTTCCAATTTCATGTAAAGACAGTTTTGAACATTCACTTTTATAAGATTTTGCATTCCAAATTTTTTTCTCCCTCCTTCCCCTCCCCCCTCCTCAATATGGCATACAATCTGATACAGGCCATGCATGTACAATCTTGTTAAGATATATTTCCACATTAGTCATGTTGTGAAGGTAGAATCAAAACAAAAGGGAAAAACCAGGAGAATTGTATTTCCCTCTATTCCATTCTCCCTCCAATTTTATCTATTCTCTCTCTCCTTTCACCCTGGCCCCCCTCAAAAGTGTTTTGCTTCTGACTATCCCCTTCCCCAATATGCCTTTTCTATACCCTCCCCCTTCTCATATCCTATTCCCCTCCTACTTTCCTGTAGGGTAAGACAGATTTCTATACCCAGTTGTATATATGCGTTATTTCCTCTTTGAGCCAGTTCTGATGAAAGGTTCACTTATTCCCCCTTACCTCCCCCCTCTTCCACTCCACTGTAAAAGCTTTTTCTTGCCTCTTTAATTTACCCCATTCTACCTCTCTCTTTCTCATTCTCCCAATACATTCCTCTCTCAACCCTTAATTTTATTTTTTAGATATCATCCCTTCATATTCAACTCACACCTGTCAATATATACTCTTTCTAACTATCCTAATACTCTGGTCTTTTCATCAAGAATGCTTGAACGGGCATCTAGGTGGTGCAGTAGATAGAGCTCCAGCCTTGGAGTCAGGAGGACCTGAGTTCAAATCTGGATCAGACACATGACACTTACTAGCTGTGTGACTCTGGGCAAGTTACTTAACCCCAGTCGCCTTACCAAAAAAAAAAAAAAAAAGAATGCTTGAAAGTCCTCCATCTCATTGAATATGTATTTTTCCCCCTGAAGGATTATACTCAACTTTGCTGAGTAGATGATTCTTGGTAGTAATCCTAGCTTCTTTACCCTCTGGAATATCACATTCCAAGCCCTCCAGTTCTTTAATGTAGAAGCTGCTAAATCTTGTGTTATCCTGACTGTGGCTCCACTATACTTGAATTGTTTCTTTTTGGTAGCTTGCAATATTTTCTCCTTGACCTGGGAACTCTGGAATTTGGCAATAATATTCCTGGCAGTTTTCATTTTGGGATCTCTTTCAGGAGGTGATCAGTGGATTTCTATTTTACCCTCTGGTTCTAGAACATCAGGGCAGTATTCCTCGATAATGTCTTGAAAGATGATGTCTAGGCTCTTTTTTTATTAATCATGGCTTTCATGTAGTCCAATAATTTTTAAATTATCTCTCTTAGATCTGTTTTCTAGGTCATTTGTTTTTCCAATGAGATATTTCACACATTGTCTTCTATTTTTTCATAATTTTGGTTTTGTTTTATTGTTTATTGATTTCTCATAAAGTCATTAACTTCCATTTGGTCCATTCAAATTTTTAAGGAATTATTTTCTTCAGTGAGTTTTTGGGCCTCCTATTCCATTTAGCAAATTCTGCTTTTTAAGGCATTCTTCTCATTGGTCTTTTGGACCTCTTTTGCCATTTGGGTTAGGCTGTTTTTTAAGGTGTTATTTTCTTCAGTATTTTTTTGGGTCTCCTTTAGCAAGCTGTTGACTAGTTTTTCATGGTTTTCTTGCATCCATCTCATTTCTCTTCTCAGTTTTTCCTTTACCTCTCTTACTCAATTTTCAAAATCCTTTTGAGCTCTTCCATGGCCCGAGACCAATTCATATTTTTCTTGGAGGCTTTGGATGTAGGAGCTTTAACTTTGTTGTCTTCTTCTGAGTGTGTGTTTTGATCATCCTTGTGACCGTAATAACTTTCTATAGTCAGAGTTTTTTTTTCCATCGTTTGCTCATTTTCCCAGCTTATTACTTGACTTTTAACTGTCATAGAGTAGGGCTATGCTTCCAGGGTGGAGAGTGAACCACCCCCAGATTTAGGGGGTTTGTGCAGTTGTTTTCAGAGATACTTCGAGGGACCTGTAAGTTTTGTTTTTCCAAGGTAATATGATCCAAGGAGAGGTGTTTACTACTCTCTTGACCTGTGCTGTAGTCTGTGAGTGACCACAAGCACTCTTTTCCATCTTGGAACTGTGAGGAGAGTCGTCTCCCCTCCACTGTAGCCACAAGCTCTACTGTGCTAGTACTCCTCCTCGTCCTGGCATTGTCACTCCGGAATGTGACCCAGATCCAAGTATGGACAAAGCAACAGTCCTGCCTCAGTGCTAGCAAAAAGACACCTAGAATCTCCTTCTGACCTACTTTTCTACTCCCTTACCATCTGTGGGCTGAGCTCTGGAATCAGCTGCTGTTGCTACCACTGCCTCTGCTGATTCAGTCACTTCCAAAGTCTGCTCCTGATTTGCTGGGGCTGGAGCTGTGCTGGACTACACTCCACTCTCACCCAGGTGCAACAGACTTTTCCTGCTGATCTTCTAAGTTGTCTTTGGCATCTGTGGGCTTGAGTTTTAAATTTTCTCCTCTTACCTTTCCTCCCCCCTCCCCAAGATGGCATGCAGTCTGACATAGGCTCAACTTACCCATTCATATTAAGCATATTTTCACATTAGTCATGAAGTAAAGAAGAATTAGAACTAATGGGAGGAACCACAAGAAAGAAGAAACAAAACAAAACAATTTAAAAAAAGGGAGAGTAAATAGTATGCTTTGATCTGCGTTCAGACTCCATAGTTCTTTCTCTGGATTTTCCAACGTGAGTCTCTTAGAATTATCTTAGATCCTTATATTGCTGAAAAGAGCTAAGTCTATCAAAGTCAGTCATCACACAATGTGGTTGTTACTGTGTACAGTGCTCTTCTGGTTCTGCTCATTTCACTCAGCATCAGACCATACAAATCTTTCCAGGTTTTGTGAAGTCTGCCTTCTCATCATTTCTTATAGCACAATAGTATTCCATTACATTCATATACAACAACTTGTACAGCCATTTCCCAGTTGATGGACATCCCCTCAATTTCCAGTTCTAGGCTACCACAAAAAGAGCTGCTATAAATATGTTTGTACATGTGAGTCCTTTTCCCATTTTTATGATCTCTTTGGGATACAGACCTAGAAGTGATATTGCTGGGTCAAAGGGTTATGCACAGTTTATAGCCCTTTGGGCATAGTTCCAAATTGCTCTCCAGAATGGGTGGATCAGTTTACAACTTCACCAACACTGCATTAGTGTTCCAATTTTCCCACATCTCCAACATTTATCATTTTCCTGTTTTGTCATGTTAACCAATCTGATAGGTGTGATATGGTACATCTCAGAGTTGTTTTGATTTGCGTTTTTCTAATCAATAGTGATTTAGAACATTTTTTCATATGACTATAAATAGCTTTAATTTCTTCATCTGAAAACTGCCTGTTCATATCCTTTGACCATTTATCAATTGGGGAATGACTTGTATTCTTATAAATTCAACTCAGTTCTCTATATATTTTAGAAATGAGGTCTTTATCAGAGACACTGGCTATAAAAATTGTTTCCCATCTTTCTGCTTCCTTTCTAATCTTGGTTGTATTGGCTTTGTTTGTGTAAAAACTTTTCAATTTAATGTACTCAAAATCATCCATTTTGCATTTCATAACGTTCTCTATATCTTGTTTGGTCACAAATTCTTCCCTTCTCCATAGATCTGATAGGTAAACTATTCTTGGCTCTCCTAGTTTGCTTATAGTATCAGTCTTTATGTCTAAATCATGAACCCATTTTAACTTTATCTTGGTATAGCTTGTGAGATGTTGGTCTATGCCTTGCCATATTTTTTCCAGTTTTCCCAGTAGTTTTTGTTAAATTGTGAGCTCTTATCCCAGAAACTAGAGTCTTCAGATTTATCAAATAGCAGATTACAGTAGTCATTGACGTTGTGTCTTGCATACCTAACTTATTCCACTGATCCACCACTCTATTTCTTAGCCAGTACCAAGTAGTTTTGATGATTGCAGCTTTATAATACAATTTAAGATCTGGTACAGTTAGGCTACCTTCCCTTGCATTTCTTTTCATTAATTCCCTTGATATTCTGGACCTTTTGTTCTTCCAGATGAATTTTGTTATTGTTTTTTCTAGCTCTATAAAATAAATTTTTGGTAGTTTGATTGATATGGCACTGAATAGGAAAATTAACTTCGGTAGAATTGTTGTTTTTATTATATTAGTTCCATCTACCCATGAGCAACTGCTATTTTTCCAATTATTTAGATCTGACTTTATCTGTGTGAAAAGTATTTTGTAATTATGTTCATATAGTTCCTGAGATTTGTTTGTTTGTTTTTTGACAGGTATGGAATAATCTTTTCTCTGAATTTAAATGCACCTTTTACATAATTTGATTTATGGCCTTTTTAGAACAATCAGTTGCTCTGGTTCCCCAAACACCCTTTGGATGTGACAACCCTTCCTTAGTCAGAGTTGCTACATCTTAAAATAAATAATCTCCACAGATCAAAAACTAGCTGGCATAGCTGAAAACATCTGACACATTGTTTGTGAACAAAGTTAGAATGCACATATGTGTGCACAGGTGTGAATGTGCACATGTGTGATGGGTAAGGGGGAAAACCGAAAAATATTCACAGATTAACTGGCCTGGCACCAGAAGTGGCCATGAAACTCTGAGATCATTGAAATGCTGCAACCATCCAGCCCCTTGGTATTTGTTGAGTTCATTCTCCTAAGAGCAAAATGTAAGATTCTTATGCAATGGATCAGGCCTCCAAGTAGAAAGATCAACCCAACAACAATAAAAATTATGAAAGTAGTTTGATAAATGTCTACCTATAAATATATACAGTCTCAGACTATCCCTTTATGCAGAACCTTCTATTAACTGGAGGGTAGCAGAGAACCTAGACATCAACAAGGAAAGGTTTCTAAGCAACAAAAAGAGATGTCATGATGTTCCTAAGATATGAATACTTTACTAGGAAGGAAGAGAGTAGCTCAGCTCCTCAATAAGAGCCTCTTTACTTTGGCCTTAAGACCAACAGTAAGTGCTTAATAAATGTTTATTTACTCACTGACACAATTCTAACACGCTTCATGATCTGGTCACTTCTTCAACAGCACACAGATAATTAGAAGGATTGGCTACTCCAAGCACGCACACTGATAGCAGTAAGTAATAACAGAGGTCAAACATTAAGGGAAGGAGGAGATAGAAAGCAAATAGGACAACTCCAAAGCACAGTAGCCTGGGTTCATTCAGTACAGGGGAAAATATCCCAGTCCACCTCAACAGATCCTCAGGACATCACTACACTATAGCATAGTACATACATATAATAATTGAAGGTCACAATGATGGCCCCGTGTCTTTATTTTTTTTTAAAAAAGTGCAGTATATTCACTTTTGCTCAAGAAGACAGAGAAATGTGCAGGGTGGCCAAAATTATTCTATTTTTAGAATAGGAACCTAACCTTTAAAGTGACCTCTTGTGGTCTGGTGGTAGCCGGCTCTTACAACACTATTCCCTTCTCTGCATTTCTATTTAGATATAAGCAGTAGCTTATATTTTCCTTCACTGTTAAATTAGACTCCTCTCCTCCCCCTTAATCTTTATCAGATTAGTCTACCTCCTACTTCAGAATACAATTTCATGGACAGGCTCCCCCACAATGTCCCTCTTCTTTACCTCCAATTTCTTCTGTAGCTTGGCCTGTCCTCCCCCACCTTCTTTCCTGTCTCAGAGGAAGAAGTGTTCTATCTCCTTTCCAAGGAAACCTCTTAAGCTTGTATCTTTGCTCCCATGCCTGGCACAGAGTTGCCACTTAATAAGTGCTTGTTGAAGTGAATTAAATGATATCCCCTCCCATCTTGTTCCACCAGTGGTTTGCTTTCAATTTCTTCCCCTCCACTAGCTTCTTTCTCTCCAGCTACCGATGTCTTCTGGTTTTTCCTACCCTAAAATTTGAACAAGATCAGATCTAAAAGTAGAATAAGATTAAAATTTTAAAGCAAGATTTGACAGTTTACAGGGATAAGCCTGAATTGTCTAGAAAATTCAGTTATCTTAGATTCCTTTTCCAGTGATGCTGGATAAATAAAGTATTATTTTATCTATAAGCATAAACATTTAGCAAACCAATATATAAATATATAATTACCAGATCTATATATAAATATTTGCCGAAAGAAAATTCACAGAATTTCACACATGGAAGGAACTTTGGAGATCATCTAGTCTAATTTCCCTCCAAATAAAGAAATCTCTTTCACAATATTCCTGACAAGATGGTTATTCAACCCTAGCTTGAATATCCACAGTTCTAGAAAGTATTCAACATTGCAAAACAGTACATTCAAATGTTGGACAACTATTTTTAGGAAGAAAGGAAAGAAGAAAGAAAGTAAAAGGGAAAGGAAGGAAGCAAGGGAAGGAAAGAGGGGAAGGAAGGAAAGGAAGACATCAAGTAAGAGAAGGAAGGGAAGAGAGCAAGAAAGGGAAGAGATTGGAGGGAAGGGAAGAAAGGAAGGGAAGAAAAGAAGGAAGAGAAAGAAAAAGGAAGAAAATTAGCTTTTCTTTCTTATATTGGGCCAAAATCTGCTTCCATGAAATTTCCATCCATTTTTCTTCATTCTTCCCTTTAGGACTACCTAAATGAAATCTAATCCCTCTTCCACATGACAATGTTTACTTTAAATATTTGCTTACAATGATGATGTCTTCTTCCCCCTCAAGCCTTCTCTCCTCCAGGTCAACTCTCCCTAGTTTCCTCAGTCCATCTTTCTATAATTGAGTTTTTAGACCTCTCACTCTGGTTACCCTCTTCTAGACATTCTCTCGCTTATTACTACTCTGGCCAAAGGTCACTCCCAAGACCGTCTCTCCCCTTGGTCTGTATGCAATAATGCTAAGTGCCAGTCCACCCTGTGACTACTTAGGTTTTCTGAGCAGCTGTGCCATACTGTTGAGTTTATATTAAGCTCAGAACCATGACTAATTGAATATCTTTTTTATACAAATTGCTGTTAAATCAGGTTTTAGAACCAAAGAATTATAAAAAAAACTCTAGCTATTTATTTAATCTCATTGATTTGAGCTCATAGTTACAACTTACTTGAGACTTTCCTGAATCTTCATTCTGTCATCCCCCATATTAGTTCTATATATCCTCCCAGCTCTATATCACCTGAAATTCTGATAATCCAGCCTTCCTTCTATTTATCCATTGAAGTTGTTGGGTCAAGTACAGACTCCTGTAGCATGACAATTGAGACCTCCCTTCAGGATGGCATTGACTGGGTATGGTTGTTCAACCATTCTTGAATTTACATTGTACATTGACCCAGGTTACATTTCTTCTACTATGGGTTTTTTTTTAATTGATCTTTCTACTATGAGGAGTGGCCAGATTAATTTCAAAAGACTGTTTTGTAGAAATAAAATTAATAAGGAGAACTATTTACACGATGATCAAAATAATGTAAAGGAAAACACCAATGGAAGGACTTGAAAAATATATCTATGTGGGCACCTAGGGAGACTTCATAGGACTGAAAGTGAAGTATGCCTCTATCTTTTGGCAGACAGGTATGGAATAAGGGATATATTTTTAGACATGGCCATCATGTTGATTTGATTTGCCTGACTATACTTTTTTTGGGGGGGGCTAGGCAATGGGGTTAAGTGACTTGCCCAGGGTCACACAGCTAGTAAATATTATGTGTCTGGGGTCAGATTTGAACTCAGGTCCTCCTGAATCCAGGGCTGGTACTCTATCCACTGTGCCACCTAGCTGCCCCTTGCCTGACTATACTTATTTGTTATGGTGGAGGCTTCTATACAGGGGAGGTTGAACATAATTAGGAAGTGACAGTGATGTTGAAAAAAAAAATTCAATAACACAAGAGTACATGGAATAAACCCACTTAAGTGAAGAAAAACAACCATCAAAAAAAACTATTTTGGGGACAGAAAATAGCCAACATGGGAGTGTTATCTCAGAGAATTTACATCTCTGTTCACTGACCCTGATCAAATGAAATACTATATGCAGAGCAATGTGTAGATCTTAAAACACTATATAAATGTCCGTTTTTGTTGCTGTTATTCCATAGCTATTTAGGCTAAATATCAACTGGCTAGGGGACCTAGACATTAGACTGAATCAGGCTTAGAAACAGAACAAGTTTAGATTCAAGAATAGAATCGCAATGATGCTTCTATTTTTCTCTGTCTCAGCAACAGCAACAACAAAAAGTTGATTCATTTGCATTTTTCCATGGGGTTAGTGGTAAATGTCTCAGTCGGGAAAAGTACTTCCCAGGTTCTAAGGAATTTCGACACAGCTCTAAAGCACAGAACATAGCAACATAAAGTGCTGGGGTGGATGGATTTGTAACGATTGTGGCAATGCTTTTATTTCCTTTTGTGATCGCTTAAAGATAATGAAAATGGCTCACAGCAGCCTCGCATGCGTGCACGTGCACGCGCGCACACACACACACACACACACACACACACACACACACAAACTAAAACAAAGACATTTAGACATTTAACAAAATTAGATTATGGCATTGGGATATTCCCATAGGCTCTCTTACCTTTTTTGTAGATATTCTTCCTGTAACTGCTTTGGTTCTGCAAGACTTTCAATCCGGGGAGATGGATAACTAAAAAATGACTTTGTAGGAAGCTCCCAGATTATAGATCCTCGACCCCAGCTATTATGGTATTCAGGCCTGCAGGTTTTAGGAGAGCACAAAAGATGAGAAATAAAGTAAGCATTTGATTTTCGTTAATGCAAACATTCAAATTCATGGTCTTTACACTAACCTAGGCTGTTATACTTAGGCCTGTGGAACCAGGAGAATGATTTACCCATGTTTTGGGGGGTTTTTTGTTTTCATTTTGGTAGAGATCTGTGATTTCATAAGGGTAAGGAAGTCTAGCTATGAAGACTCCTTCCACTGATTTATATTGACAATTTTGTAAATTGCATGTCTTACAGAGTTGCCTTGGGGTACTGAGAGTATGATAGATGTGCCCAGGGTCATAGAGCCAATGTGTGTCAGAGTTTGGACTTTAACCCAGGTCTTCCTGACTCCAAGTCCACCCTCTATGTGATATAGCATATTGCCTCTTTATCAATCAGTAAGTCCTAACAATTTTTTTATGATGCTATTCCTATATAAGCAGGAATTATTAGAAGAGATTATTATTATTATTGTAAGAGATTTTTACAAGCCATAGAGCTTGACTTTCACCATCGAACTGTATGCCTCAGCAGTTTCTGTTATAAGATATAGGGATGTTGAATCCTGAATCTCAGCAGTTTCAGTATCCCATCTCAAATCAGCTTCATCTAAATAGATTGGAGAGAAATGCTTCATGAAAGCAACAAGTGCGTTGAACTCAAAAGCATCAAGAGGAGGGTGAATTTACCTGTGAAACAGGTAAATTAAAACCTCAGACCTCCACACTTCCATCTCCATTTTGAATATTCTAAACCATGAAACAGGAAATGCTTCAAATGGGGAAATTTATGTAAAACCAAAAAAGCTTTGAAAAAAACAATCAGAAGACTTCAGGCCCAAATGGCTTCCTGAACAGGAGGACAAACCAAATTCACTCCCACAAACCTACAATAGCACACACCTGAAGTTTGGACCAGATGGAGTAATGATCAAGGAACCAAATTAGTAACCACTTTAAGTTACTTCTTTTGCAGACAGAAGCCCCAGGGCAACAGTAAAGGGGCACCAGCAAAGCCAGCCCCGGTACAGGACAACCTCTCAGCATAACCAAAGACAGGCCAAGGACAACACGGAGCCTAGCCATGTGTCCAGGGCTAACAACAGCTGAGGCCCTCCCATCCCAGTCAAAAAAGCCCTAGGGTAAGCACAATGACACAGAGCTCCCACATCAAAGAACAATCCTGCAAGCATCTAGAAAGAAACGGGTCAAGGGCAGCTAGGTGGTGCAGTGGATAGGGGACCAGCCCTGAAATCAGGAGTACCCGAGTTCAAATTCGGCCTCAGATCAAATACTTGACACTTACTAGCTGTGTGACCCTGGGCAAGTCACTTAACCCTAACCGCCTAGAAATAAAAAAGAAAAAAAGAAAGAAAAGAAACAGTCAAGCACCAAGGAACTATAATCAGGAACACACAAGACCTGCAGTTTCAACTCTAAATGAGAAGTGATCTTGTAATATAATATTCCAAAGGCAATAGATATAGGCTTATAACCAAGAATAACTTAGCCTGCAAAGCTGAGTATAATAGTTTACATTTTTATAGTACTGTACAATTAAAATTAAACAGGAAAAAAAGCATTGAGTGAAGAGGGAAAAGTGAACAAGATTGCCTTTGAGGAATTATAATGTTCTTTTAATGACCCCTAGGCCCTTTGTCAGTCTTCAATTCCCTCTGGTGGATGAAACCCTGTTCTTAAGCCCATTAACACTGTGATGTCACTTTCAAGAGAGGATTATGCATCTCTAAACTGTATGTATAGACTGCTTAGAAGAGGGGGGGAATAAAAAATAATCTGCATTAAATTTAAGTATAGAATGGAAGATGGCACTAGCTGGGCACCATATATATATCTGACATTTTGGCAGCCTCTTTGTCAGGCCCAACTGAACTATAAGCACTATAGAAAACACTATACATGGATTGGAATGCAGTATTTCTCAGAATAAAGCAAAGTCTAACAGTACCCACGTTGGGGGAACTTACACTACCACTTTGTGAAACTATATTTTTTTCATTTAAAGTTCTACAGGCTTACAGATGAAAACTTGATAAATGACAAGTAAAGGATCTTATCAAGTAAATGCATAATTAAAAAGATGATAATCTGGATATCTAGGAAAAGCAAGGAAAAACCAATGGAGAGCTCACATGCTCCGTTATAATCCTGGCATTGTCAGAACTTGAGGAAAGCCTCCAACATAGAATTCAAGGAAACCTGCCTGTGATTAACTTATGTGAGGCCATGGATGAGCATTGAAAAGGCTGGGCAGGCATGGTTGAATTGCAATCTGCTTACCTGTATCAATCAGATTGGAGATACACTAGAGTACTGGGTTATAGAAGTACAATTTACAAAGCACAATCCTCATAATTTCACTGTAAGGTAGGTAAGCATGGATTATTATCCCCATTTCATAGATGAGGAAATTAAGATAGAGAATTTAACTAAATTGCCTACAATCAAATGGCTAGTGAATAGCAAAAACCTCGAAGCCCTTATTCAGACTCAAGCCTAACTCTCTCTAATACAAGGTATTGTCTCTCATGCCAAGCACTGTACTAGACACCACAGAGAATACAAAGAAAGCATAAGATACAATCTCCTTCCTTAAGGAGGATGAAATCTCATTAGGAAAACATGGCACATGTATGGCAAGCTAAATAACATCCCAAAATGGTACATTACACCTGTGGTTTTCAGACTTTATACAGAAATACACCTTTTTTTAAAAAAAAAATAACCCATACTTTTCCTTTTCTGGTTTTCAGACTATTATTTTCTTTCCTTTTAATTAATTTTAACATCTTATTTAAATATCACCTATAGTCATTGTGCATATTATTTTCCTGATCCTGTTGACTTCACTTTGCATTAGTTCAGACATCTTCCCAGGCATCCCTGAATTCTTCCTATTCATTGCTTCTTATGGCACAGTAATATTCCATTGCATTCACAGAATCAAAGTCACAGGATTTTGGAGTTGGAGAGGACCTCAATGACACCTAATCCAACCCATCCATAAAACCATAACTGTGAAAGGTACCTGATCTGTTATCTTCTATTTTTTCATGATTCAACCTTTAAAATTATTTATCCATTTTGAGTTTATTGTGGCATTTGATGTCGATCTACATCTAATTTCTTCCAAATTGTTTTCCAGTTTACCCAGCAGTTCTTTTTGAAGATGGAGCTCTTCCCTAAGTAATTTTTATTTTCAGGTTTACCAGATACTAACCCTCCCCTTTACACTTTTCAAAAAAAAGTTCATACAAATACTTTTTTAAAGCTCATTGTTTATTCAATTTAAATTAAGTATTTATTTAAAATTTTATAACAAATATTAAACATGGAATAAAATAATGCAAAATGCAGATACTTATTTTTGTAATTTTTATATTTACAAAATTAAAATAATAACCATGTAAGTATATTATTCATTATTCACGGGTTTCTTTAACACAAAGTGTCTCAAAATGTAGTTTCACTGAAGATACTACTACTCATAATTCCATTTCAACCACTAATTCGTTGATATTTTATAACAGCTATTGTGGAAAACCCACTTTCACGCATATAAGATGTTACAAATAACAGTAAAATTTGTATTTGGTGGGAGTTGGGGGTAAGCCAAAGAACTCTTTATTTACCCATAGCTGAAACATATTCAGGTTTAAAGACTTGTTTCTATATACCTTCACAAAACAAATCTATTAATTATTCTCATTTCTGATAGAGTAAGAACAAATGTATTATATATGGCAACAGCAAATGGGTTTATTACCCATTCATATTTAGAAATATATAGGCTTAAAAATAAAATGAAATTGCTTCTGTAAACTGGTCAAGTAGTTAATAAATAGGCATTTTCTATATCATGTGTTGGAAGATATATTTAAAATTAGAAAATTTCAATGATATTACTTAGAAAACTTATCCCTAGTTCAAAATTTTTCATCTAACTAGAAACTGTATTTCTGGATTAAAAGAAAAATTAAGGACCTTGCATTGATTTTTATTGAGTACTCAATTTTTTTTTTCAAAACTATCCAACAAATAAGTAAATTTCAACAGTAAATTTTTGTTGTAATAAGGATTTGCTTATCTCTGTTATTATCATTAATGAAAATGACGATTTCTTCTTTTAGCTCCCCTGGCCTTTACTGTTTGAGCTGTGGCTCTTTTGCAAAAGAAAATCAGAATGTTTCAGAGTAACATATCTGTGCTCTCTGCTCTGACCCCATAGAACAGAATGAATGCTTGAATATAGTTTATATCACTAAAGAGGTGTGCTTTTCCCAATATAACATACAGCTTCTCTCCATAACTATTCAGTTTACAGAAACTGCCATATTATATTCAGTTGTAATTCCATCTCTGTCCTCTTTCATCTCTCCCACTCCAAATGCTATGATGGAGACTACTCAGTCAATAGGGAGATTTGCAATGTGAGCATTTACACCTTGGAAATTGGCAAATGCTGCAAATCAGGACTTGGATTGACTGTTTTGTTGATTTCTAAGGCTTAAGAAAACGAGGGAGAAAATGGTCATAATGTAGATTAAATGTTAAAGTGTGCACGCCACAATATGTATATATGTATGTACATATACATAGCAAGTTGTTAAACATTTATCAGCACACTTTTGCATATGTACTCCCTTTGCATCTCCAAAAGCATTTCTCCAAAATTTCTGTCCAAATGTCTATATTTTCCCCACCAGACCTCTGCTCCTGCTACCCCCAAAGGCCTTACTTCTTCCTCCCACACCAGACCAGCTTTCTTTCCTGCCTCCATGCCCCCAGTTCCTTTCTTTCTGTCCAGGGTGCCTGGAATTGTTCTCCACTTTACTCCCTTTGGGTGCCTTCACTTCCTTGCTTCCCTGCCCTTTCGGCTGGCCCTCTTCTACGACCTCCATTAGGCATCCTGCGGCTGGTTTCTCTGGGTGTGGCCCCTTTTCCTCAAGGCTCCCCGGGGCTCCCC